AATAAACAATTATCCCCATAAACTTGTCGCATCAATTCAACTCTCGAAATGGCAATTTTTATTAGTTTTAAACAGAATTTAGTGTCAGCTTTTTTGCTCCATGCTGATTAGGTAACAAGGCACCTCTGACTATGTTAACAAAATGGCGGCTTGTTTGTTGTCTGCTTATAGGGTGGCGATGAAAAGTTGCCAGATCATAGACGAAGGACGCCTCTTTGGATTCCATGCTTTGATTCATAGATGGCAGTTTTGTCTTGGCTATAATAAAATAAGTCTCATTACTTAATTGTCGGACCTTGTATGTAAAAGGATAATCAATAAACGTGAACAGAGTGCAGCATTAAACTGAATACATTCCCCCAGGCATGAAAAAAGTATCAGATGTGACGTTAATCTTTGAGGCATAAGGAAAAATCGGATGTTCATTTTCAAAATAAACCCTACTAAATGATTTTTTTTTTTTAAATTTACTATATATCCTAGATTATTAAACACAGCAAGGTGCACATACGACCAACAGACATTTCAAGAACAGGTGCATACAAGGTCATACATTGGCACTTACAAAGATGTAGCACAAAATCACTGTTTACCCAACAAAGAAAAATGTAATTGTATATCAATTTAGACACATTTTCTCCCAGTTCTGTCAACCAATTCAAAATGACAAACTATGATTAAGTACTAATTTTAAATATCTTAAGTTTTGGATACCTACATGTGTGTAAATATCTGGAATAAGGTAGGTAAATAATCTGACATCATCCATTTGGCACAACTGATGGAAGAAAACAAAGAAATACAGTAGGTAATGCATGTGTACAATCAAATCATGGCATGTTTTATTAAATGGGGCACTGATATAATCCTTGCCTCTATCTTAATTCTATAAAAATTATGCTTGCTCAATCAATTCCTAGTATGATGGAATCACTTATGTTGAGCTTTGGGAGAGAACTGAACAAGTACCAGTGGACAAAGAGGTAAAGAAAAGATACTAGTGTTGGACAGGACACGCATTGAGCACCTGAGAAAAATATAACTAGATTGTCTTTGCATGGATCCCACAGGAGTAGAGAAATAAAGGTAGAACAAACAACAACAAAACCACCCAAAAAACACCTATGAAGAAGGCAGCTAAATAGTGAAGTTAAAAAGCTGGTGAGAACATGCAGTGTGATCTGTATGCAAAAGCAAAGGATAGAATGACTTGGAATGAGTTGGTTGATGGCATATGCTTCATTCCGGGAATGAATAGAAGGAACAGAAGAAAAATCAATCAAAGATATATACAGTTTTCCCTTAAAGGGTCAGAGTAACCAGCATAGCCATTAAGATTTTATACCCAGTTGTGGATCAACTGATGTCCAATCAAATAACAGAATACTCAGGAAGCTACTAAAAAAAAGCATTGAATAATTTTCTAAATCTTGATGCCTAGTGGCTTTTTGCTGCTAACTCCATTTTCAATGGCCAAACAGCACACACAAGATTATGTAGCTGATTTCAAGATGACTGCCTTTACTTCCCTCCATATTTCCTGGTGACATTTTAGACTAGGCTGATAGTTTTTTTTTTTTTAACCCAAATATATTACCTTGAGAAGGATGCAAGAACATGAATGAACTAGCCAGTGTTTCCCAAACTTGTCTTAGTCGTGGCGCCTTTTTTCAATTTCTTCCACAGCGCCCTAACCTAAGTAAAAGTTTGACTATTCGTATGCAAGAAATATATTTTTTTTTAAACTTGTGTATCTTCTAATAATTCACAGTACTCCTGTGAAGAGTTTGTGGCTCCACAGAGCACCGTAGTCACACAGTTTGGGAATCACTGGTACTAGCCATCACACTAAATGGGAGCAATATTTCCTGCTTTTTTTGGGTATAGTGGAGGAGATGCCTATCCTTTGTGGATAATGGCTCAACAAAAAAAGAAAAACAGAAGTCCCATGTATAAGCTGCACATAATAATAATAAGAATAATCCGTGAACAGTTGGAAATCATAAGGACTAGGCTGTAACTGACTGCAGCCCCAACAAAATGCAAAGAATTTAAAAAGCTGCACACAACAAATTATTCCCAATGTGTAAATATTTTACACTGATGAAGGCAAAGAGAAACCACAATGTTAATTTTCCAAGAACAAGTAGAAAGTTTTGGGCAGCCACCCAATAAGATTACAGCAGCATGAAGTGCTAATTTTTCAAACCAATCTTCTGACTGAATAATCTGACAAGACATATAATCTTCTGAACGAATAAATCAACCAGACATTTATATCTTGAGGGTCAGCCCAGTCTTGTAATAAAGAGACGGGTGGCAAAGGACAGGACTACAAAGCAAGACATGTCTGCCACAAAGCCACTTCTGAGAATCAATACGACAGACCACAATTATAACCATGGATGCACTAAGCAGGTTAAATGTGATCACACTTTTCTTCTTCAAAAATGTACCTGAACTGTAATAAAGACACAGACAGGGTAAAACTTAGTGATTAAGAAGCTGCTGTCAGTGTCTACTTATGCTACAAGTCAGTAATTTTCTGTTTTACTAATACTAACTCAGTGCTTAAGAAAGAAAAAAAGGACTTTTCAGCTGAAATGCTACAGAAAGATTCTCAGAATATCATGGACAAAGAAGAGAGAAAATACTGTGGGGTGGGAAGAGGGGGCGGGTAGCCACTGCCACTTAACAAGCATGCTGTAAAAGGTGACGAATTAAGCACTTGCTGAAATAGGATGTGTTAGGTCGAAAGGTGCAGATATCTTAGCCTAGCTGTAAACCACAACACAACATGCCAACTGCCTTTCAAGGATAAATGAAGGAGTTTCTATAAGCAGTTGGATGCATGTATGTCTGAAGGTCTTTGATGATTGCTTCAGAAAACACGAGGTATATGTATGTTTCCTTACATTTACATTATTTAATTCTGTCATGCTTGTTAATTCACTTTTCATATGTTCGTAATAAAGCCATGTAGGCAGGTTTAATTTGATCATGCTTTAAATAAGCTCAGTATCAAAAGCTATAATAAAAACCACCGTACCTTGAGGTCATTCAGAAGGCAAGATTTTAAATCTTTGTTGTCCAGGTTTTGACAGAAGTCTCTGTAAGTTGCCATTTTTTCATCACTGCCTTTGCTGGTAAGAGACATTAAAGAAATATGTCAAATGATAAATCAGATAGATATAAAAGTATAAAACAATGGGAAAATAAGACTAACAGTACAAAGAGACAGACTATGAATCATGCACAGAGATCTCTTGTTCAAAGAGGTAATATTTAGCAAACTTCAATAAAATGTAGCTAAAAAGGCTTAAATTTTTTTTTTTTTAAATAAATAAGAAAACACCATAATTAAAGGACCAAAAAAAGGTTCAACTAGAACGGAATAAAATTAAATAAGCCTCTTGTTGCTCATTTAGGATGCAGAATAAATTGATTTAGGTGATATTTTATCAAAAGTCATCTGCTGTCTTCAGGATGATTATTCTCTACTGAACAGGACTGGACAAATTACCATCAGTAGAGTCAGAAAAGGACAGAAAAGACTCAACAATCTGTCTCATGTAAACTGTATACAAATCTCAAGACAGGTTTTTTAGTATACTTGTGGTACCAAACTGCCATACTTGTGGGTAAACACTTCAAAATGCAGACAGCATCACTGCACCGAATACAACTCAGAAGGCAATTTTTAGGTAATTGATAAAATGCTCCTATTTTCAAACTCTATGAAACTTGCATTATCCCTAGACGGCAATGCGGTTACTGCAGGGAACTTATCTACAGACGGCTGAATCAAGGCAAAATTAAAAGAAAATTATGTATTAATAAATCATTTGTGGATTAAAAACTACTAACTGCCCGTATACCTATCCAGCTTAAAGAAATCAATATTGGGCGCAAAGATGATGTAGTATTGGACTCACACTTGCCTGCCGGCCCAAAAGACTTGGGTTCAGATCTGCATCAAGTCAGCTACAAAACTGGCTTTGGCTCCCAAGTTGAGCCGGCCTAAAAGGGTCTTAGGCAATCTCCTGAGTATTAAAAATGATGCTGACCCCCCCCCCCCCCCAAGTCTATACAAATATGGGTCTATTGCCAAAGCCCCGATGTACAACTGACATAAAATGTGTCCTTTACTTTGTAGATAAATATTGCTCTTCACATCGTTTCCGTTTCCAGGCAGTCTTTGCAGCTTCTAGATGATCACAAGCTATTTTAACTATAGATGAGAGCCAAGATCGCTGACACCAGTCAGCAAGGCACTTGATGATGATGATGATTATTATTTTAAACAACCACTATACCTGACTTTGAGAAAGTACAATAACATGTAACCAATGCGAGGCTGCTTTAAATACATTTCCCCTAGCAGTTGTAAAAGTGGTTGCCTCCGAGGATCTTCCTCTGACATCTGACTGAGAAATCTGAAATTAATTAACAAGCTTCATCAAATAAGAATGAAAACAGAGACATAAAATCTTAACAAAGCGAGACACATACAAATCTTAACTAAGCTCCACTCATCAAATAATTATATTTATTTTTGTTCATTATTAGACAGACTTTGCTCCTAACATCACACTAGAAAATAATTTGCTTTTAATCAACAGATTAAACATCAAAAGATCAAATCTAGCAATTCAGAATTCAGCTAGTTAGGTATCTAAAAATAAGTAGATATTAAATATATCAAATAAAAAAGCAATAACAAATTCAAAAAAAAAAAAAACTAATTGCTAAAAGTGAGCAAAAACTGATAAATTAGGCAATCTGGATGGTAGACATGGACAGGAGATGTCTGAGATGGGCTGCAGGAGTGACCAGATGAGACAGAAATCAGAAATGAGATCATAAGAGAGAAAGTTGACACAGAACCAATTCTAAAATATATACAAAGACAGCAAATCAAACTGTTTGCCCACTAAGATAGAATGCTTTGTGATACCATGCCATACAAGGCATAAATCAAAAGAGGGCTAGAGCACAAGGAGGAAGGATAGATAGATAACAATTCAGAAACTCTACAACAGCATGAAGTGTCTATGGTTACGGCAGCCAGACGAGCAAGAAGTAGAACCTTATTTCTCCCTTAATACGTGAAGAGGAAGTGAAGAAGAAGAAGAAGAAGAAGAAGAAGAAGAAGAAGAAGAAGAAGAAGAAGAAGGTCAAGTGAAAAAACAAAACAGATTGAAATAAAATGACAAATGAGATGAGAGGCACCACATGAGAAGACATTCCATGTGACAAAACTCAAAGGTGGACAATAAAAAGATGTCTGCACACTATAATTGCAGGAGACACAGACTACTCAGGATCTAAACTTCCAATGCAATGATAACAACTTATCTATGCTACACCTATCTATTTATATATAACTTAATCATCAACAAATGTTGATTTGCGTACAGTAGTAGGATGACAGTCTGGCTCCACCTGTAGCACATTCAGGTCCCAACTAATTGAGGCGGTTCTTGGACTCCCCTTAATGTCATTTACGTTGAACAACTGGACTTTTCTTTGCAAAAATACTCACATTATGTTCCAATTTCTTTCTGTGAGAGCACAGTCCATTATAGGTGGGTTGCCCTAGCCATTGTGTCTATAGAGGTATCTCCCACCTAGCATAGTTAAAAGCGGTGACCAGAACTTTTCATCTGCTCACCATTTTTATCCAGCTACCATGACTTTCACAAGACAGAAGGCTGTGGAGAGACATGACTACCAATGCCATATATTCTAAAGGAAACAGAACAAATGCTTACCTGAATATGACAAACAGAGGAGACCCAATTGAATCTTCTATTGACCTGTGACCAGAAGAAATGCAATGAAGCGTACATTAATTGCCAGGAAACGTTTTATTTAGTTCTAAAATGACATAATTACCTTTCACAGATTTGAATACTCGGCTGTAAAGTTTTTAGGGGTTGTATGGATTAGGAAAGGAAAAGAAGAAGAGATAGATAAAAGGAAAGATGGTTCTACACTTATCATAGAACTAGAACCATTTACTATTCCCTTTCAATCTCAGAAATGGGATGAAAAATATGTCTTATGTGAAAAGGGAATGACAAAGGAAGGCGAAGACAGTTCCACTTTTAACCTAAATCCAGAAATAATTTTTTAACACTTGGTGGGAACATTCTTTGTATGTGGAAAATATACAGGCTCTGAAATAAGCATAAAAGAAGGGTCTTTAGCTTAATGTTAGTAGAAAACCACAACAGAATCTTACTGTTTCTTTCGGTAAAAAAAAAAAAAAAAATTGTAGAGCCAATGATATGGATAAAAGTGTCCAATGATAAAACACTTTTTTTCTTTTTGCTTATGCATGCATCAATCAATCCTCATCGTGCCCAGAGGCACATAAGACACAGACAAACTGTCACACTCAATTTGATCTTGAGCCATCCTCTTTTTCTCCAGTTTTGTTCTTCACGTAGCCTTGAGTTCAGCCTCAAAGGTTCGCCTCCAAGTGACCCTTGGGCTGCTTCTTCCTTGTTGTCCTTGTGCTGTCCATTTCATTGCCTGTCTCAGCCATCTCTCTTTCTTCATTTTGATGATGTGTCCAATCCACCTCCATTTTCGTTTTTTGATTTCTAAATCTTCTAAGCCTCTGTCATTTGTTGTAATCTAGAATTGCTGATTTTATCTTCCCATGTGAACCCCAACAATTTTCTGAGAAGTCTTCCCTTAAAACCTCTGAGCATGCTCTCTATCTTTCTGTCTGTTTTCCAAGTTTTTGCTCCATAAAGGGGACTGTCCTAATGCATGTTTTTCATATCCTGAGTTTAGTTTTAGTGCTGTAGATGTTTGATCTCCAGACACTCTGAAGTCTGCTGTAAGTAGCATTTGCCTTGGCAACTCTCTGCTTGATTTCAACCACCATATTTCCATCTGAGGAAATGTTGCTTCCCAGGTACGTTAGGTCAGTTACTGTTTCCAAACCTACATTATTTATTACTGTAGGTCTTTCACTTTTGGGGTTTATCTCCAGCATTAAAAAGGTTTCACTCTGAGAATTAAATACTGAAAGCAGCCCTCTGGTAATCTTTCTTTCTTGTCTGTGGTCCACACTCAATATAGAATAAGCATGTTTGAGGCAATTATATTTCTGTTGGTATGAGGTTTCTGACAGAATATAACTACAACCATGTCTCCAGAGAAGGCTGAAAGAGGGAATGATTGAAATTTATTTTAATTCTAAGAGCTTTTCTGAAATCGGAAATGTTAAAAAGCATTTGCAGTCTCCAATGTCTAATGCAATTAACTTTCTGCAAACAACTGGAGAATTAAATGGGTGACATGGACTCGCATAGTAGATGAGGTTGCATAGTGGTCTTGTATGTACAAGAGAATGGTACACATCAATCAAATGAGATCACTACCTTGGCAGTGACTGGATTTTTTTCTGTGTACCCCATACGTCTCCTTGGATCAATATAAAGATGTCAACGCCCAGAGGAAGAGGTAACGAGTCCCTGTTCAAAATGTTAAGAATTGATGGCTCTCATGCGAGAAACACCAGTTTCAATCTCTGGTAAAGTTGTGGCTTCTGCATGGGGCCACAAAAGTAAAATTCTCATTCTGCAGTTTGTAGCGACAGCACTAGCCATGGAGCCCTAAATCCTCAGCCGCGGAGATCCCTCTGCCTAAACCGCAAAAGTGGTAAGTACAGGAAGTGAAGGCAGACAGCCCAGGGGAAATTATCAGCAGGAAAGTATGACACAGATACATCATATGTGTTTTCTATGTGTCACAAATACACTTAAAGTCTTTATTGGCTATAAACAAAGAAATACACAATGGACTCGCGACAATAACAGATTAGAAAACTCACTCATCATCAATCTCCTGTGGGAACAATTTGTGCTGAAACTGTGGACTCAATATCTGGCATAAACAAGTGGCTAACGTGGCTGCCATATCTTGATCAAATTCTTCCTGTTTAAAATAAAATGCAATTCTTTTTCAAGTTAACGTTATGATTTTAAGCATATTATTTATATGCTTAAAATATATTAATTAGAAAATAGCGTTAATTCATTAAGTACTGTCTTCATAATGAGACAAGTATGAAATGTCAAAGCTACCATGACTAAGGGAACATATTTATATAAAACAAGTTATGTGTAAATAACAAGGTAAGCAAAATTCTTGGAGGCAAGGCAAGTGATAACGAAGTAAGCAAGCTGTTACACCTACATGACGAGCACTTGTTTAGATATGCATGAAGCAACCAAAGAAGGCATGCTCAGCATACTACTGCACAACTTTAAACAAAGCTAAAAATATTTACAAGCATACCTCTTGAATCACAACTTGCATTAGTTTATCTGTTAAATCACACTGCATCTCTTGATTTCTGAAAAATCATAAAACATTAGGGTGAAAACAAAGTGTTCCGTTTCTGAGTATTAGATAAACTATTTATTCCTTTTCAAAACCCGAAGGACTTATGACATAAGATTTGGTTTTTAGGCATTTTTCTTCATCTTTTGTGTTACTAATTATGCCGTAAAGCAGGCCTTTTTAAGTTTATTTAGGGGCCAAAAACTGCCAATTACTGCCTTTATTGTATCACTTCTGTGATGTAGGCTGGGGGGGGGGGGGGGGGGGGGGGGGGGGTCATTTGAGCCTAAGGATTTACAGCCTCAGGGGTAGTGCTGTTACCACGACTGTGCACATGAAGATTTTATTTTGCCCCTAACAAACAAAATCTCCAGCCTTACCGAGGATTCGGACACCGGTCTCCCACTTGAGAGAGCCCAGCATTCTAACTGTTCAGCCAGCCACTATTCAGGGGGAGGGGGGTGATTTTTTTAATGGAGACTGTCACAGGTCAGAGGTTAGAGCCTCAGTGCAAAAAACCATAAACACAAGTGACAATATTCCATGGGCCATTTGCTAGACTTTCATGGGCCAGATCTGGCCTGCGGGCTGTCAGCTGAATAGCATCAATCATAGAGAGGACTTAGATTTAGTTTCCTGTCTTCTGCTGTCGCATAGTTAGTTAATGCTAGTCGTGTTAATGACATTTAGCATTTCTGTAGTGTCTCTTTCACTCCCTCTGCCCAACTCTCTCTCTCTCGGTCGGCCTCTGTAGCTTGCTTTTAATATGTAGTATGCTCTAGCTGCTGTCTGATTTGGTTTCATTCTGACTAGATGACCAAATCATTTGATTATGTGATGTTCACTGAACTCATTTACTTGTACTGTGCATTAAAAGACCCTTATCATGTCATTGGCACATCAGTCAAATGCTGCTATACTTCTTAACTTCAACTTTGCTGCATTTCTGCCATTGTCTCCTATTGTTTACTTCCTTTTTCCTTGTCTGCTCTGTACAGGATCAATATACTGCACAAAGGCAATTCATTAAGTGCTGCTACAATCTTCCTCTTCTTCTCTAGTCCTGTTCTGCATTTCAGTGTCAGGTTTTGAAGAGGTTTTGGGTGAGAGCTTAGGTATGTGCTACGTAGCTGCTGGTTTTATGACCTCAGATATTTCATCTATCTATCGCTTGTGTGGTCAACTTCTAGATCTGCCTCCATTATGTCTGAGCGACAGGGCTCTCTGTATACACTATCTGGTGGTAATCTTGATTTTGAAACCATTTGATCTGTTGTCTCTTGATGCAGTTTAGTACTGGCAAAATGATATTTTTAGAGACCAATCATAATTTGATGGATGATTCAATCATGCTGGCCACCTACATTTCCTACATTTCCTTATGTCAACTTTAGACTGGGTCGATCTGAAAGCCAAAATCTTCATCATCATGAATTTTCACTTTGGTCATTGAGTGTTGTGTGGAGAAACAGTTGGTGATCTACTGCAATGGCTACTATCATTCTGCATGGACACAAGAGCTCTTTAAAGTCATCAATTCAATTTCTCCTTTGGCAACCTCTTGCTTTAAAATCAGTTTTTTTTTTCATGTGTAGTGTCTGTGTTCCTAATTTTCTGGCTGCATTCTAATGACATGACCAAACCATCTGATCTTCTGTTTCTCAATAAATCTGGTGCATGGTGCTGTTCCCACACAGCCTGACAGTATCCTTTCTTACTCTGTCCCAGATGCATAAGTAGGTGAGAAAGTCAAAATCATTTCCTACACATCTGCCCTATTGTGAATTGGATTTGAACACATTTATCTCAACCAATTTATCAAGTCTGACAAGAAGCCTACCTTTCTCCCTGCAACTCAACTGTCAGATCATGAATCTGGCCTGTTAACTGGTTGAGATGCTCTGTTATGTCTACAGGAACATAAGCTGCTGATTCTTTGATTGGGCGGAAACCAATGTCTTCCTTTAATTTACCTAACAAAACAGAAACAAATTAAAAATTATTCCTTTTTATATAAATTCCACCGCCTTAAATTGCCCTTAAAAGTGGTAAATACAACCGGTAAAAATATTTTATAATTTTATATATATATATATATATATATATATATATATATATATATATATATATATATATATATATATATATATATATATATATAATATATATATATATATATATATAATACTCATCGTTTTTTTAAACTTAAAATGGTGTAGAATGCTATATATTAATCAAGTTATAACAGGCTAAACAGTTTCAACTTCATAGGAAATGGGTCACTGCATAAATGCTACCATTGCTGTACTAGCAAAAACTACAAAAAATGCCAATTACTGCCCTGTTTAAATTTTCAGTAGACAGCAGTTTTGGCAAAAACCAACAGCTAGCATACACTGCATAAGGCAGAGATCAGAGGCGTTAACACTATTATTCTGCCACTAGAATTGCAGTTCTTCATTGATGGAAGCAGCAGTCATGACAAACCAGTAGGTGAACATGTATTACTGTATAATGTATGCCATCAGTTCTGTGGCAATCAGCCCTCTGCCCAGGTACCATAAGCAAAAGAGAAAATACTGATCCTCTAAAGATGTGAACATCAAATAAAACAAGCTCATAAACAGTTATTTGTGTTGGGAACTTAAATATCAAATGCCATGGTGGTTAAGAAAGATTAGTCATGGAAGGCAACAGTCGTCTAATGTGATAGTGAATACTGGACACCTAGGGCACCTCAGGCATGAAACTGTATGAGATAAGATTGAAAATTGTCCCAGTCGGTTGTGATAACAAACATTTTCTGTAATGGTCTTGCTCTCTGTCAAGGGCTTGCTATAAAACCAATTATGCTTAATTCATGCTGATCTAAGCATCAGCATGTCTATTTTAAAGGGACTCGTGTTGATATTCTGTCTTTATTGTGCAGGTATGTGGGGCAATGGACAAGCAGATTTTTTTTAATGGAAAAAGGGAAGAGGGGGGGGGGAAGCTGCATAGGAGATCACTAAAGGAACATATTTGATAAGGGAGACATTCTAAAAACCTGTTATGAACGAATGTGGACAGAATATACAATGTTACATGAAATAAAATGTGTAAGGATGTGTGACTTTGGAATTCAGTTTATCCACCAAGAAATGATGTTCTGTAGAAAAAGTATAATGTGTGTACAACCAGTGCCATCAGCATCTACACCATAACACATTTTCTGCAGGAGACAGAGCATCTGTGGGTATATGCCTGGCACATGTATATTCTTAAAATATGCATTTCTCCCTGTGTGGGTTCCGGGGCCCTATAACAGGGAAAACAAGAAGAGACTCACTGCCTAACCAAAAGCATGTCGTAAGAGCAGACTAACTGGGAGCTTCCTTCGAAGTCAGAGTTCATCTGCTTGAGAGGCAAGGAACCAACAGTCTGCATACAAGTCAGATCTGATCTGTAAATCGAATGCAGCAAATGCAACTCAGGTTCTAGAATAGGACTGCAGTCCAGAAGTGGTCGAACAACCAGAACTTTTCACCAGAGTTTACAGCTGGTGAACACGAAGAGGAAGAATTTGCATTCTGATCCAAAGTATTTTTAATTTAAAATGATTATCTAATAATAAAAGGGTTTATGAAGTATGTCTGCATCAACCGGCAATCTAATCTGAAGAATCAAACATAGAAACAATGCACTAGTCTGTATCTTGCTAGATAAATATAGTGCAACAGCAAAGAGCCTGAAAAAGAAAATAAATGCACATGACATCAGGACACCAAAAAAGTGTGATTAAAAAAACCTGATTTAGGAAAAGAAAAAGGAACAAAAAATTGACACATCTGCAACCAATAGACATCAATTAAAATAGAAGTAAAACACTATTGACGTGGCATTTTTCAATAATTTATAAGCCTGGAAATACTGAGAGAAGCAAAGGTGGCTGGCATAACACTGACCACATCGCCCACTTAATGTCAAACAGTCTATAAAATATGGGTCCAGCCCCATATGTTGGCGCTCAAATGATGTGAGAGTGGTTCTTTTCTATAACTTTTAAATGAAGAACAATGGATATTACTAGAATATAATTCACAGGGAACACAAGTGTAAAATGCAGACAGCTTGGACATTTTTGCAGAATACCTCATGTCTCTCGGGCAAGGACAGTCACCGGTGGATGGCAGATGGGAAATGGAGATACGAACTACCAAGGAAACCTAGAAGAAGGAGCTTAGAAAGAGAAAGGAAGAAGTACAAACCAACATGGGAGACCATGGGTAGAAAAGCAACAGACCAACAGCAATGGAGATCACTCTGGACGCCGTGTGTGTCAACAGCGACCTACAGGAAATATGAAACAGATAAAACTAAAGTGTAGGTTCTACTTACCCAAAGGCACATTGTCTTCCTCATCATCACTGAAACAGGCGTCAGACAAGTTATTCTCTCCTGTATGATTACTGCCCATATCCATATCTAGATCATCTTTTGTCGCAATCTCATCCTTCACCGCTAAAAGAAAATTTATAATCATGTTTTTAAAAAAAAGGTGCTCAGGTTAAAATTAACAGGCAGCTCAGAGAGCAGAAAAATTAAATTACTGAAATATTTAAACTCAAACATGAGTCAAGAAAGTACTCATTTTATGAATATAATTGAAAAATCTATTATGTAAAACTTGACTGCCAAGTTAGAAGAATGTTTGAAATCAGGTTCTCTGTCATGTACACGCCAAAAACATGATTTCTAACATCTCAAAAGATGCTATCACTTAGTATCTTTTCGTGAGATTCTGTGTTTCCCTAGAGTTTGTTCTGCTCGTTGAATGGTTGACAGATTACAGAATTCCCTGTGGGGGTTCCGGGGCCTCAGATTGGGGAGAACAAAACAGACCCACTGTCCCTCTAATAAGCATTGTCACAAAAAGTGATTCATTATTTTTTTTTTTTTAAATCAGGTGTGTTGGGCCGAAAGGAGCAGATTTTGCAGCCAAGCTTAAACCACAATGTGCTAACTGCCCTTTTACAGGCAAACACAGAAGAAGACTAAAATGCTGTATATCAGACTGCAGAATGTTTGATATCAAACAAACTGTTAAATATGCACAAATCATGTAACACCAATGAAGACATTCAGAAGAAACTGCAGATTCATCACTTTAAAAAAAAAATATATGATGATCCACTGAAGTGTGCTGGTTGGGTAACTGGCATGCCACAGAGTGGTCTAGGTTCTTCTTCTTCTTATGTTTGCCCTTAAAAGGATGGTTGGCACAGTGTGTTATGGTTAACAGCTAGACTGTGATATATGTGCCTTTCTGTCCAACACATCTTTTATCAGCAAATCCTCAATTAGTCATTACTTACTACATGCTAGATAAGAAGCATTGGGTCTATATTCTACTCTACAACAAAAATACACAGGGGTCTAGGTTTAATCTGCAGTGGTGCCCACATGTTTTCCCCCATCAGTATATCATGTGTATGAAAGCATAAACTCTGTTAACTCTTTGAGTGAGAGCAAATAATATCAAATTCCATCTTTCATGTCAATATCTTTGGTCTACAAACATACCTTCTTGGCTGCAGAACTCCACAAAGTTTTCTCTTAACAAGGTTCTAAGTTCTTTATCTAACTTTGGATTGTCAAACAAAGGTGATAATGACCTGTTGAATGGAAACCAAAAAATTGAATCAATCATTTAAAAAAAAAAGAGATTCAGTGTGGATAAAGAGAAACCTATTCAGACAACTAGCGCATTTTACACCAAACTACAAGTTTGAGTTTTAAAAACCGGCATCATAGCACTCTGAACATCCCCATAAGCAATCGGTTCCCATCCTCGCTGCTAGTGAAGAGTTCCAACTCTAACAGTACTAATAACAGTAGGACAGTATGTGTGTCTTGCCTTTCCTCTTAATGTGGAGTGTCGGATAAATCCCCTAATCGCTCCTTGTTGCACCCTTCTTTTCAGACCATGATAATCTAAGTGTGCCTCTGCACTTTATACTTCTTCCCAAAGAGCCTTGATAAGATCTAGCTTGTCATGCATAAATTTACCATCAAGTGGCGCAGAGCCAGCAAGTCTGTCCACCTGTTCATTTCCTAACACAACTGCAGGCCCTGGAGAAAATATCTAAAGGATGCTAAGTATCTTGGGCTTTTGAAACGATGCATACCTGTCTCTATCTTCCTCAGCATGCTTTGCGAGTCAGTTACAACCACAATATGTTTGTGCAGCTGATTCTCGAGAATGACTGCCTCTACCTCCATTCTCAAACTAGATGTGATATTATATGCCTGGTGTTGTTGCGCTAAGCGTCATTCATTAGCTTTTGATATGAACCCCATGCACTTCTTCTGCCTCTCAACAGAGAGCCATCGGCATAGAAAACCCCATCACTAGGGTGGGGACTTTCATGAATCAGTTGTTGAATTTCGGATTCTACAGCACCTGCTGGCCAGTCCCTGCACTTCCCTATGTGATTAGAACCCTACAAATGTCTGCTTGTTGCTCAACCACTCTGATCCACTTATCTCCTCACTTAATATTTTCAAGCATTCATGAAAGTCTAATTATGTCTTCTGCCTGGGCAATCCAAGACCTACCTCTTTTTTAGTATACGTCCCTTAGCTTCGTGCAAGAGGTGTTTCTTGTTTGCTTCTACTCTGAATAGTCGGCAGTGCAAGTATATAGTGCATACATACTACTGGTTCTCTTGTACATCCCAGAATCACTCACATGGCTTCATTCCGTATGTGTTCAAGTTTCATCAGCTGACTATTTGATATGGTGAGCATTCCAATCCCATAATCTATCGTTGAGAGGATCACGTGCTGCAACATTGTGAATAGCATTCTTTGTTGTATGTCTACAGCTGCCATAATCTTGAGTGCGTTGAGTCCCCTTTGGCACTTTGAGCCTCCACATGGTCCTTGAACAGTGGTTCTCAACCGTCCTAATGCAATGACTTTTTAATACAATTCCTCATGTTGTGGCGAACCCCGACCACACAATTATTTTCGTTGCTACTTAATAAATTCAGTAACTGAGTATTCCCGATGATCTTTGGTGATCCCGGTGAAAGGGTCATTCAGCTCACACACAAAAAGGGTCTGCTGTCAATTGCTCCCCCGTCTATATGCAAAATAAAGAATTTCATCTGCAAATGTCAATATAGAGACTTAATACATCTCATCCTAACAGTAGTATCTGCCACTAGAGCCACCTATGCTTTTGTACATACATTATACATAACAGTAATCCTACAGTTCCTGAACAGTAACCTACAAAACTCATAAATGCATGTTAACTGAAATGGGAAACATCTACTTACGGTAGCACACGTTTGTCAAGAATAGTGCGCAAAGCTGTAAAAATGCTGTTTCTGATTTGTGCTGTGTGTTGAATGCTGAAGTTGTTCATTATCTAAATATATGAAAAAAATTTAGTAATTTTTAAAAATAATCATTAATTCTAGGTAAATCATGCAGTAATTTTAAAGGTACGAATATTTTATGCAGCAATCTTTGTCAGTAAATGTTAGAAAGGACTCTTTTCCACACCTTTAGGTGTATTGGGAATATTGAGCTAGACCTATATTTTTATAGACCAATCGGCACTTGGTGGGTGATGTTGTCAGCATTGCAAATGTCAGAAAGATAGTTCTTAAAAACAGAATCTTCTCAAATGCAGTTTTGCTCGGCTATTCTGCTCTTAATCTGTATCACAACCTTCTGATGATATCATTGCTCCAAAATGTTTGAATTTATTTTTGTGAGATCCTTTCCGTGCCTTTAGGTGTACTCGGTATATGGTACTTGGTCCATATTTGTAAAGACCAACTGGTACCTAATAGATGATTGGTCAGTATTACACAAGCTGATACGGCCTTGGTTATTTAATGATACTTATTTCAGGATGAAAATAAAATGTGACAAATTCAAGAAAGGTGAAGACATTTTTACTTCAGGGCTATAAACTAAGTTTACACAGCAGCCACAATTTTGAAAGAGAATATCATCACGCACCAATGGCCTGAGCTCCAGCATAGAGAGATAATTAATTTAATACAACTGGCAATGATCCGCAGGCCAACTGCTAGGCCTTAGTGTGCCAGATTTGGCCTGCGGGACAATAGCTGAACAGCTCTCATTTACATAACTTTAACACATACCAGGGAAAGTTGGTGAACCACTACAGATTTAGAACAAAGGTTAAATGCACCCAAAAACAAATCCCTGTGGAAAAGGATGAACATTAAATGGGATAAAGTCAATAAAGGTGAAGAGAAATATCTGGATAACTGCTAGTACCAACAGTTGTAAGACAAATAAGATAGCGCTGTAGTGAGCACATCTTGAGAAGAAGCATGCTATTTGAGGACGTCCAAGAGAAACCTTGAGCTGAATGTTGATAAGAAAGACCAAAAGTGTTGGACTGCATCGCATTCTTGATAGCAAAAGAGACTGCACAGGATAGAAGTAATTAAAAAAAAAAAGACTGTAAGCCCTATGTGATGTAAAATTACAGAAGACCTTCTTCTCCTTCCTCTTCTTTGCATCCTTCCTGACAATGGGGTTTCAGATGAGAAGGCCACAGGTCTCTATGAAGTCTGTGGGTCAATGCATGTTTTCCACTGTTTCAAACAGCTTGGTTTTCATTGGAATGCCAAATGTAAAAACCTGGAATCTCGCTACTGCATGCAGAGAGCATGTTTGTAGCACATGTTCAGTATTTTGTGACGCCTGCCCACATAGGCATAGTTCTCAATCCCCAGTCTTGAATTTCTTGTACATATAGCTACACAGTCTGTTGTGTCCAGTACACAATCTATATAGAATGGTCTGTTTTTGCGTGTGAAGAGGTTGATAGGGTCTTCAGGACTGTGTCTTGGATTAAAGTATTCCAATAGGTATTAAGGCTGCCTTCATCTGCATTTTACTTTACACAAGATGATGATGTTCATTTCCGGAAGCCCAGATGAAAAAATGTCTTGATGGGCATTCAGAACTATGACCTATGGGCTGGACGGTGAATATGCTAGTTAGTGTGCTACTGTGCCCCAATTAGGTTTTGCTATTTCTTGTATAAAAACTGCCATTACTGCCTGCTTGTACCTCTCTTACGGCGGTGTTGAACAGGGAAGTTATGAGGTATTTTAGAGGCAGCATGGTATACGCAGTCACCACAAACTAAGCCGGTTATGCTTTTGCAGTTGCTGTTGCTGCCCCTACAGGAAAAAAATCTCCATCCCTAAGGATCAAACCCAAGGCTCTCATGTGAGAGCCCAATACTCTAACCACATGGCCAGCCACACCTATCGATATTTCTCCAACATTGAAACTAAATGAATGAAATAAAATGAAGCTTACCCTGCACATAAAATCTAACAATGTGGCTGTGATTGCAGGATGAGGCCTCATGGAGTGGAACATCACCAGCACAGCCGGTTCTGTAGATTACACCAGATACAAGAGTGACACATGATAATGTCTGCAATAAGGTTTGCAAACCTAATAAATACCTCAAGATGATTACCACAATGTAAAACTTGACTTACAATGATGCATGAAATGATCATTGTTGTTTATAAAATAAAATCACTATATTTAACAAGAATGGAGACTGCTAAGGAGAAGTCATAAGCAGACTGGTCAGAGATAACCATTTAGTGTTCAAGATCATCTTTACTGCAGGCTGGGCATACCCACAAGTGCTCCTATCGTCTCCTAAGCATGTCACTCAGTGTGTATACGCTGACCACTCTTGTTCTGCAGTGGTTCATGTAACGACTTGCAAAGTTTTTAGGGCGCATCTCCAACCTGTATATCCAGATTTGGATTCAGAGAGAAGTCACTAACCTCATGTTTGAGGTCTTAAGGGTGTGTTGTTACTCCTGTCCACCACACTGCACTCAAATGATATTACTGCAGAAGTAAACTCTCAGTACTTAACAACTCACCATGTGTTTCTTGATCACACTAATCATAGTACACTTTTCTTTCTCTACCCTGTCTCAGAGAGTTGTTTTATTTACCTAACCTATCCAGAATAACTGTTTTTTCTTTTCTTTTGTAACATAGTGTCTCTCATTTGCCCCCTCTGAACTTAGAAATTTAATGTTTTAAAGTGCAACTTGTTTAGCCATGATGAGTTAAAGTAACAACATCTGGGACAGAAAGTTTGAAACAGCATAAAAGTATGTGACATAACCACAGCAACAAATTTAAGTAACATTCTGACGACATTTCCCATCCTTGTGGCAAAATACAGATGTGTTATGAGCCATTTTATTCTCACTAAAGGAACAAATTTAAGATTTAGAAATTAAATGTTACAGAAATTTTTTTAGAACATTCTGGCTCTGAAGCAATGTTTTAGAATCTGAAATATTTTGGCAACAATTAAATTCTACTCTGATGTAGAAAGAATTGGAAGGCCTGATTCCTATAAGAGGCAGGGTTGACAAGCATGAGGGTGGACTTTGTACATCAGAAAAACTTTCAAGTAAAAAAAAAAAAAGGACAGAAAACTGACATGGGTTTAAGATTCATTTCAGTTACAGTGGGCCCCAGTGAGCAGGATATTCTCCGAAGAATGTCTATACATAAACACACAGACACACCAACCAGCTGTGTTGTCTTTTGTTTTCAGTTTGCAGAACCTTACCTATGTTCATAATACTGTCTTTCTCTGGATCAAAGAACAGCCAGTCGTAGAACAATGCCAACTTTGCATCAGATGCTGCCACATTGGACTGATAAGAGACAATCAAAATTATAGAAATTATTGTACATGTGATTAGTTATGATACCTTCCTTCTTATTTCTTCTTCTACCATTTATCCCCCACTGGGACAGAAAGTGTTAAACAGCATAAAAGCAAGTGACATAACACCAGCAACAAATTTAACATTCTGAGGACATTTCCCATCCCTGTGGCAACATACATATGTGAGTCATCAGCCATTTCACGCTCACTAAAGGAACATTACAGAAAAATTCTTAGAATGCTCTGGCTCAGAAGCTGCCACATTGGACTGATAGGATCCCCCCAGTGGAGCACAGCCCCTTAACTTACTCAGGCCAAGTCATCCTATCCTCTGCTATTGCATGCAGCTCACCCCGTATCTACCCCATCTTTTCTTTTCATTACACTTACAAGTTCCCCTCTCCATGTGTTGCTGGTTTGCCTTTATTTCCATGACACTGTGAATCCTAGTAAATAATACTGTTCTCAGGCTTTCTCAACAAATGTTCTATCCAGCAGTTTCTTTGATTCGCCTCTTGATTCAGTGGAATTTATTTATCGTCATTAAATATACATATCTCAAACTTGTTTCTAATATTCACGCAGCAAATCTATGTCTGTCTCAGTCTTGTTAGGGTAGAGGAACCTGCATGATTCAGCGACCATCAAGGACTGGACTGACAATATCAGCTACTGATAGGGTCTCATAAGTCACAAACAGGCCAGTGGTAAAGATCTAGACAAAAGACACCAGTTCTTACTGACTTGTATGTAGACTGAGGACAGTCATATATTATTAGTTGCATATCCTTTACAGTATGTTGCAAACCCATCCTGGCATATACTGGCTGTTTATGATTTAACCAGGGGTCACCAGGTGAAGAGGTCAATCTGTCCGAATCGCACTCTGAAGGTCATGGGTTCATTTCACGGCTGCCCCTTCAGTTCATTTTGCAATTTTCTATGGAGATCCCTAGGAATCATCAACGTGTTATGAAATGAGACCGAGACTTCACCAGGTTTTACTCCCATGTCATGTAATCATGTTAGTGTCAGAGATTCATCATCATTCACTAACCTAGTCTGAACTGCGTTGATGATACCTGCTCTGTTCATGCTTATTCCTAGATACATTAGTGCACTGCTTGCTTGGTGGTCTGCTCATTCATAACCTCTCATGCCTTTATTGACACGTGTATAAATCTAGGTGAGGGAAGTTAAGCTCGATTTCTGAAAGCTTTCTACCCAATCAAAGCATATACAACTTGTTCCGATTACCTGAAGAATGTTCATAGTCTGATATGATTACAGCATGTGTGACTGCTTGTTTTGGACTGCAAGTGCTCTGGAGGCAGCAGTCATTTCTATGGCCATGCTTGATGTAGTTGCTTGGTAAGCTCTGCTATCTTCTTTTATTGTTTTCCTCATCCTTTGTGCTGTGTATGCCCTTGCTGACCTTGACTCTTGCTTTACGGACCCATCTTGTAGATAATGACATGAATGCTGATCTATCAGTGCTCTTATCTCAGTGTCTACAGCCACAGGATTATGGTTCCAGCAGCACCTCCCTAGATCGTTGGTAACCTTAAAAAAGTCACACATGTCCACTGGTATATCCATCCATTCTTTTCCATGACTGATCTTGTCTAGGTCATATACCTGCTGAACTGAAGTTTCAACCTTGGCCATCTACGAGGGCCTCTTTAGACATTCCTTTTATCGCATCGACTGTTTTGTGCAGTAGGTGGTTGACATCTGCTGATGCCTTCGTGTACACTCTGACTTGCACCACTTCATGTCTGGTGGCCATCGTCAGTAATCACATAGTAAAACCTACAAGGTAAGTGACAAGATTACACAAGTTAAAACATAGTGACACCTGCAACTTAAATGACAAGAAGTAAAACGAAAACACCACATGAAACTGTCTTACAGTGCAAGTTGTAAGCAGCCAGCCTATAACAGCCCAGCGTGGTATGATGTCAGAACACAACAGTTCATTGGATGGGTGGAATACTGCACAGATGTAGCGGATGAGGTCACATCGCAGTGACTGGCTTTCAGGTGTAGACAGATACTGAAAAAATATTCAATAAATTAATCACACATAAACAAATTTAAAAAGTCATGCTGCTATAGAGATATTTCCCAGCATGATACTTATGTGTAGCCTTTAGCTAATGTCACTAGCTGAATTATTGTTAGATTTTGAATGCTGGCTATCTTAACTGAAGCAAGATTTTGTGCTGATTTATTTGGGAACCTTAGTAACAGCAGAAGAGAGATGAATTACCCAAAACTGCTTACTCAGCACTGCTGAGTCCCCCAACCCTATATTAGTCTTAAAAAATGATCTTTCTTAAAATTTGGTTAACCAAAAAAAATAAGCAGAAGAAATTTTGAGTCTTGATCAGTTTTTATAAATTTCCAGGGGATCAAACTTCTGGACTATAGAGAAGACAGGCAAGCATGACATTTTCCACTTTTGGGATGATGTCAAGTCACTAAAATTTGTTTTTAAAAATTATTTTCCAGTCACCTAATGTCTAAATCAAGAAAAGGTTTATGTTTTCTTTTAGTGAAGAGAAGAAATTATTTTGTTCACCCCAAAAAATACTTGTACAGAAATTTTTTTCTAAATACAATCATTCACATCATTTTAAATCTACTATGCAGTTGCAGCCAATATCAAAACTATCATACAGGCACACTGGGCACTGCCCAAAGACATCATGTCTACTAAAACCTGTAAAAGCCAGAAAAATTGGCTTTCTTAGGATGAGAGGGTTAAATTGGCATTTGTCCATCTGTTTTTATCTTCCCACTTGTATCACGCTTTACTTCTTGCCTGAGCACCTTTACCCTTCTTCAAGTAAGGTATTAATTCAGGGTTATGTTGACCACAACACCCAGCAAGGGTGACTCTGTACAATCATATGCCCGATGCACCACTGGCACAAACAGGGTCCATTAATTACTTCAGGTATAAATGAGAGCGTCACAACTTTTCATGTGACCAGAATATATTGTTTCTTTTATTCAGTTTATTCCTGGCTTTTCTAAGACCTATATGTTACAAGCCAGATGATCTTTCTCTTCCTCCCTTTATCTCCCCACCCCTCCTCCCCCAGTGGAGCAAAGGTCCTCAACTAACGCTTGTCGAGCTTTCCAATCTTTTACTATTTCTTGCAGCTTTCTGCATTACTCTGTCTCTTATTCTATTTTCTGTGTACTTTTAGTTCTATTTCTTCCTGTGAGTTCTACAAAAACCAATTTAGTTGCATATTCTTTACAGGATGTTGCAATACCAACCCCAGCATTTTTGTGCTGTTGTGGTTTTACTAGGCAAATTTACGTCTAGTAGTATGACATTGCTTTCTGGACAGCCGGTTTCTCAATACCACTGTCGAAACCAACGCAAGGTGCAAGGCCCGCAGCTTGGATCAAACCCAGCACCCCGGCATTACAAAGCGTGTGTGCAACGCCTAAGCCACAGACACCGACTTCTACAGAAAGGATGTTCTCATTTAGTGGTTCCCCCCGTGTGGGTTCCGGGGCCCCATTGTGGGGAAAACAAGAATAGACCCACTGCCTCCCCAAAAGCATGTCGTAATTGGAGAGCTTCCTTTGAAGTCGGAGTGCATCTGCCGGAGAGGCAAGGAACCAACAGTCTGTATTCAAGAGAATGAGATCTGTAAAACTGATGCACACGCAACACTCAGGTTCTGGAGCAGGACTGCAGTTCAGTAGTGGACGAGCAACCAGAACCTTCCGCCAGAGTTTACAGCTGGTGAACGCAAAGAAGAAGAAGATTTAGTGGTTCTCAACCTCTCTAATATCACGACCCTTTAATATGGCTGCTCATGCTGTGGCAACCCCCAGACACAATTATTTTCGTCACTACTTCATAATTTCAATAAATATGTGTTTTCCTATGGTCTCAGGCGACCCTTGTGAAAGGGTCATTCGACCCACAAAAGGGTGGTGACCCATAGGTTGAGAACCACTGTTCCAATAATATTATTTACAAATCGTCTCAGTGCAAGTACTATCCAGCCCAGCATCGTTTTCTTATCTCTTGATGCTCACTCCAGCAAATGAGAAATTCTTCTTCTTCTTCTTCACTTCCTCTTTTACCGCTGTGGGTGTCGAGGGAGATATAAGGTTCTGTTTCTAGCTCTTCTGGCTGACTCGACCATAGGCACATCGTGCTGTTGTAGAGTTTCTCTGATGTTATCCTTCCATCTTGTTCTTGGTCTACCCCGTGCTCTACGTCCTTCTTCTCTTTCCATGTATGCTTTGTATGGTATGGTGTCACAAGGCATTCTCTCTAAGTGGGCAAACCATTTCACTTGCTGTCTTTGTATGTAATCCAGAATTGGTTCTGTGCCGACTTGTTCTCTTATGATCTCATTCCTGATCTTATCTCTTATGGTCACTCCTACAGCCCTTCTCAGACATCTCATTTCCGTGGTTACTAATTTAAATAAGAAATTACAATGTTTAAATATACTTACATGTTTTCCAATACAGGAAGAAGAAAAAAACAAATGCACTGTAATGAGGAAGTTAGCTGAAGGGGAAATAGGCAAAACATCCAAAGAAAAGATGCTGACAGTCTGGCATCACTGCATGAAAGAACATCTTTACAGAGATGACGGACAGAACCAACACAGAAAGCAAAGTGGAAAGTTTACATTTCCACATATTCTTATCCATTTTATTATTTCCTCTTTAAAATGAAAAGAATGAAAGAAGAAAAAACATGCGAAGACTTCATGTAGCATTTGTAATCACAGGTAATCCACAATGTTTTTACTTTACTAGACAATATATAAATGCTCACCTGTCTCTGAAACCAGTCCTGGTAGCGCTTTTGAGATCCAAACCTGACCTAAAGAAATTTTTATTTACAAAAAATCCATTATTAAAACTGCAGCACAACACTTCTTATCTTTCTTAATGTTCACCAGCTGTAAACTCTTGCAGAAAGTTCCTGGTTGTTTGTCCACCTCTTAATAGTGGTCTTAATCCAGAGCTTGAATTTTGCACACACACTCATTTTACTGATGTATTTGTATGCAGACTGCTGGTTCCTCGCATCTTGGGCAGATACATTCCAAGGAAACACACCTAATTAGTCATCTTTATGAAATGCCTGGTGGGTGGGGTGGGGTGGCTGATTCACCCCACCCCCTTTCTTTTAATCAAAAATGGAACTTCAAAACCCACATAGGAAGCAACACAACACAGATCACCTGAATGTAAAGAACATTTTCAGAGCAACACCACACAGATCACTTGAAAGTAAAGAACATATTTTGAGCAACATAACACAGATCACTTGAACTATAAAACATTGTTCTCTTCATAGAACATTACAGTTACCATACACACAGACATTATATTTATTGTTACTCGTATACAGAAAAATTCAGCCAGTAATATTTACAGTCAAATCATGAAGAACATCTGGGTAAAGTCAATGTGTCTGTCTCGCAAAATATATTGTCGTGTTATATGGCTCTGAAACTTGGAGCACAACTAGAAGAGATAAAGCCTTATTACAGGTTTTCGAAAACAGAGTCTCATGACAAATCTTTGGACCCATCAAAGATGCAAACAGCGGGGAATGAAGAGTGAGAAGCAACAATAAAATTCATAATCTGTTTAAATCACCAGTGATCACTGGCATTATGAGAGCTAATAGACTTAAATGGTTGGGACATATTGAAAGAATGTCAGATGACAGAGAAGTAAAAACTGTATACACCAGGAAGATGAATGGTCGTAGTCCACAAGGCAGATCAAGAAGACGATGGAGAGATAATAGCCAGACAGACCTGCAAACACTTGGTGTCAAAAACTGGAAAGAGAGGGCCAACCAGAGAGATGAACGGAGGCGGGTGATATCTGCACCAATGAACCTCGAGGGCTCAGAATGCTGAAGAAGAAGAAGAAGAAGAAATTATGAAAACCTTTATTTGTTCTGAGGGTTTTGACATTCTGTACATGTGCTAAGAGTAAGAGCTGATTTGTAATCATTTTCAGGTTATTTCACTCTGAGATTTCATCACACATGAAGTCACGCCTGCATCCATTTATTATTCTATGATCATTACAAAGTTTAAATAAGGCATTCTGGCTGTGGGATCTTCCAATGAAATGCCAAGCCCTGCTTAATGCTACTTACTTACTTGCTTATATAAGTCTGTATATAAAAAAGTCTAACAGCTCAACTAGCATAACGGTAGACACTAGATATCTAGAACACAGTGGGTATCAAAATTCATGAGGTGAGACAGTTGGCGAAGGACCGGGAATCTTTCAGGGGTGCCATGATAAATGCGGCATTTTGCAAAAAGACCTGCTACAAAAAAAAATTATACAAATATTGTGTGTTAGCTGGGTCTGTAAGTGAGGCAAAGAACAACAGCACATCAAAGCACACTCAGGCAAGGCAACAAATGCCTGAAGAAGTTGGATGGGTCTGTCTACTGGTTTAAATATTGCAGCCATGCAGTAAACAGGAAGACTGCAATTATTTTTTGGGATGAACACAGAAGAAGAAGAAACATAAAAACAAGTTTTTTTCTTACCTTTGTAATAAGAAAAATTAATTTGTTTTCCATGTCTGGTGTCAGCCTTGCCACTAAAAACTTTCTTGATGTTCTTATTTGCAGCAACTGGGAAACTCCTGTGTGGGTACAAATAAATACAATTATATATATATATATATATATATATATATATATTCACACACACACACACCTCATCCTACTGCAGAATCAGAAGCAGCACACTTTTAAATAAGCAATACACAAGTTCGATGATAAGCTGTACTTAGGCTTGTGGATGATGATGGAATATGGGAGGTGCTGAACATGGGAAGTAACTAATGACACTTAACAAAGATGAAGTTTTCTCTTGTTGGCTAAAAAAAATGTCTCTACCTAGGTTTCACAGTGTCAAAATAAAAGTGTCATTTACATCTACTTTTTTTATTTTAAACATAACTTTTACGCTGCACAGGAATGACAAACAAGGAAATATGAACAGCATACTCAGATTTCCTGCAAATTAAATTACATAAGTTAGAAACAACCAAATAAAACAAAAAAACCTGGTTTTACAACTGGTCTCTTAAAAATATTGTCCACAAATCTGATTCTGCAAACGTTAAAAAACTGTTTTAGCATTGCTTAAAGGTCTTAACCTGACCTACTATTCTTTCAGAGTTCAAAAAGATTTTGACTTTGATAAACATTTAAAAAGTGAGAGAAGCAACTTTCTTGTATTGAATTTCATTTCTGAGTCTCAGTCTCTTTCTGCAAAGCAGATGACTTGACAACTCTGCGACATAAATCTTTGCCAATCAAGTAACACCCATGCATTATTTTATTACTGCATAAAATATTTATGCTAATGATCTTACCTGCACAATTTTACCTGTAAAAGCAGGGAAAAAACTCTATTGCATTGAGCTTAATTTAAGTAGCTAAGTCTCTCTCTGCAGAGTAAATGGCTTGATCACTGTACCAAGAAATGCAGTATTTTACTACTGTATAAAATATATATTTATATATATTAATGATCTTATTAAGATAATTTTACCTGTAAAAGTTGGGGATAAACTTGTTGGATTGAATAAAATCTCTTTCCACAAGATATCAAACTCAGGGATTCTGGCCACATTCTGCAACAGTCTGATCAAATCTCGGCCAATCTGCATACATTCTTGCCACTGTAAGTAAGTACAGTGAGTCCAACAGGTTAAATGACCATAGATAAGTATTACATATAACATTCATAAATGAACTAATCTTGAACAATGAAATAAAAATAAATCAATGACTTTCCCTGTTGGCGCAGTGACTAGATCTTTCATCAAGTTATCTTATTCCCTTGCCACTGCTATTAGTTTACCCCCATGACCTCCTCACCTTTTTTACTCATTAAAAAAAACATTTTTTTAAATTATAAATTGCTTTTTTTGGGGGGGGGGGGGGGGGGGGGGGAAACCTAGCTCAATCCCAGCTGTGGGTTGATTTAACAGCAGACTGCTTTGCGCTGATTTCAACACTGGTATTAAGAGCTGACTGTTCGGAAAGTGAAGGAAAACTACCAGAAATAAAGTTGCCTAGTGAAACAATCTTTATCATGGTATGGGGCGTTGCAGGTTGACCCAACCTAAAATGGGTACCAGGATGGGCTGTCCAGGGAAAGTAAAAACAGCCGGCGTAATGCTGACAACATTACCCACCGAGTGCTGATGGTCTGTAAAAATATGGGCGCTCTTCCCATATGCCCGATACGCCTAAAGGCGTGGAAAGAGATCTTTACTTACTTTTACTTTAGTAAAACAAGCAGCAAGAAAATGACAAGGACACAACAAATGTTTTTTTTTTAATTGCTCTGACCCTGTGGATTTAAGCACAAGCACATTCTAGCTATACTCTTTTCAGTTTCTTAACATGTGTCCAATCCAACAGCTGCATCTTTTCCTTATTTCTTGACTCACAGGAATTTGTCTAATTCTCTCAAACGTCCATCTTTGTGATTCTGTCATAACATGTTATTTGCTCTATTTTGCAGAGGAGCCCAGTGATGCATGCTTGTAGTTAAATAATAACTGTTAAGTCTTTCACAAGTAATAAACATCTGACATTAGAGCTTAGGGATAAGGCATAAAAAAGCAAAGAAACACTGCTTTACCACTGGTAGTCTTAGTTTCAGCTTCATAGCAAACGGGTCACCCCCCCCCCCCCTTTGCTCCGCTCCTGTGCCAACGAAAAACACAGAATGTTTATCACAGTCCCTTGTGGAAAGATTGACAGACTGCTGTCTCAGCATATTTAGCATACACTCGCATTAAAGCATATGGTAGCCATCCGAAGTGCTAACACAAACAGTCCAACATTAGAAATGCAGTTCATCATGGTAGCAGAAGTCGCCAACAGATCAGCAGTTGCCCATGCGATCAATTTTAATCACATACGGGCACCACCAACATTGCATGACAGGCATCGCGCCATTTTCTGAATCTACAATTCACACCATCACGTTGATCAGTCGAAAAAAACATTCCACATGAAATCTGCAGCTCACAGTGTCACGCCATGCATTCAACTCAGAAGCTAGGAGACGAAACTATATCCAGTCTATAAATGGAGCAAAAATGCATTGGCCACCGTCCGGCAGAAGCAAAAAATTTGCCTCGGCGTTGAACAGTGCCCCTGCCTAGCGTCCGTTTTGACCGGAAGCTTCACCACTAAACATATGCGGATTATGCAATTTCCCAGCAAATCCTGCAAATTGTCATCTGCACAGCAAGCTAGGAAAGATGTACTAGTCCAATGATTCAACACTAAACTCATCAATTTATCAGGTGTCATCTCCACAATGAAGGTTTGTTACACCGGATCTCTAACATGTTCTGGATGTACATTCTCTCAGACTGCTTTTAGTCCATCTTTCGATGCTATCCTCCCACTTCTATTGCTGTCTGCCTCTTGCTCGCAGCTCTTCAACTTTTCCCTTCAGTATGATTTTCTTATTCTTCTTCACGTTCACCGGCTGTAAACTCTGGTGGAAAGTTCTGGTTGCTCATTCCCTTTTACACTCTAGTCCTGTTTCAGAAACTGAGTGTTGAATGCACATCCTTTTCACAGGTCTAATTCATCTGCATGCAGAATGTTGGTTCCTTGCCTCTCAGACTTCGAAGAAAGCTCTCATTTAGTCCACTCTTTCGACATGCTTTTGGGCAGGCAGTGGGTCTGTACTTGTTTTCCCACAATGAGATCCTGAAACCCACACGGCGAAGTATGATTTTTATTCTAGTGTTATGTCTTTTAACATGGCTAAAATATATTTCAGTTGCGAGCCACGGGGCGACCCGCTCGCCGACAACCACAGCACAACATGCCAACAACCCATTTAAGGGTAAACACAGAAGAAGAGGAAGAAGGTATGCTGTGAAATACACATTTCTAGTGATTCAGATTCTCTCCTCAAATTAACAATGTAAGGAGGACAAAATCACAACACATTATACAATATATGGACGATGCCAGATTTTCTTACATGTGATCTTAAAAGACTGATGCACAATTCGACTTCCTTTTGCCGAAGAACTGCCATGCCTGGTGCACCATGGTCCACAATCACCCGCAGGTAGGTGTAAACTACAGTAGCCATCAAGGAAATATTCTTTGCTAGGAATGGTCTGGGTAAATGAAATTTAAAAAAAAATTTTAAAACATATGTCATGTACAAAATCAAATAATTGTTAACAAAATTTTCCGTTTTCAGAAAATATTTTACATAAGGATGTTATAAGTTGAGTTACTTTAAGAAACCATATCACAGCACTCAGAGGGTTCCAATAAGCTCCCTGTCCCCATCTTCAGCAGCCAGCACAGAGTTCCAATACCAATGGTACCAGTAGCTGCCTGATTATATGTCAATCTTGCTTCTCGGGCAGATCTACTCTAACTTTGAAGGATGCCCACAATTAGTAAACTCCTAAGACATGCTTGTTGGAGTGGCAGTGGGTATATTCTATGGGGCCTCGGAACCCACACAGGGAATTTATTACAAATAATAGTGCCATTAAAAAAAAAAAACTCACATTCCTTACAATTTTCTATTTTCTTCCTTCAACTGATGCAACGTATCTCCTCAAACAGAAGATTACATACCCACAGCATGGTAGTGTTAACAAGCTAAACCAAAATGGGTCCACTGAGAACTTCAGTCTCAGAATATAACACTATGAAATCAAGTAAGCCTTTTATAAACCAAAACTATCAGCTGCAACTGTGTGCAGCATCTGAGCATAGATCTGATCTCATCACCCTGAATGCCCAGATTTTGGGAGATAGAAAGAGCATCTTACAACGCAAACTATGAGTGAATAGTGAACTCTTTACATTCAAGCTTAGGCCACATAGGTTTATTTATTGATAATGTATCTTTTTAAATTTCCTCTAAGCGCGTTTATTTTAATTTCCTCCAAGAACATCGCATGGAAAATCTGAAACAATGAGATAGTTTTATTTCTTGTTTATAGATTACAGCTCTTGCCATCAACATCTTTTTGTGACAGGTATTCATTTCCTGAATTTACACTTTGTTCCAAAGCTTCAAATGTCATAGTAGACATGTGGATTTTGTGTATCCTTGCTCGTTAATGTAACATTGTCTATTTATGCCATGTGCTAATGAAGGTTTTTTAGCAGCAACATTCATCCACCATTTGTGACTGTGGTAATGTAAAGCTTACTAGTTTTATTTTTCATTTGGTTTAATACCTTTTAATCAGATAAAGAAAACAGGTGCAGTTGAAGCTATGAGACAAAGAAAACATAAGTACAGAGCAGGATACAATCAAAGAAAAATAACTGTAGATAATAGAGCCATTCGGTTAGCTGAGTATTTCACCAATATATTAACAACAATGTGAAAAAAAAAATTTCTGAAACTGCTACAGATTTCTCAGTTACTTTTTGTACCCAGAGACTAATGTTATGGTGTATGTGTCTGCACTGAACTCATTCATTATTTTTGTATTGACAGATTAACATATTTTTAACTGATCAACAGGGCAGGCTTCATCATCTATGACAGACAGCAACAAACTTAACCCACTGACTACCAGCGTCGCACGTTATGCGATGCGGTGATGTTTACTTCTTGCTGCCCAGGTCACACCGCTGGCGACTTTTAGCTTTAGGCGCTCGCTGTCATGTTAACATCGTGATATTTATGATAAATTTAGTTGAAGCCTTTAGCTTATTCACTTCTGTATGATTAATAAAGGGAAATAACGTCATAGTGCTTAAAGTAAATATTGGCGAATTTTCTCAGCTCCCATGTCAGTGAGACATTGACACAATTCTCATTAGGGCATCAAATTCTCAGGACCATCGTGGCGGTCATATTTCTTCTAATGTTTCTAATGATGTATGTGATTTTCTTGAATTAGCTTCAAAAAGTGAATTTGATGACACTAATAAACAGTTTGATGGTTATAACTATGAAAAATTTAACGAAGTACCATTTAAAACATTGTCAACTGTCAGATAAAGGATTTTTCAGTTGCCTTTTTTGCAAAAATCTACAGCCACATGATGATGATCATTATGGTTGACAAAGTAAACCCCACTTTTTGCTTCAAATGTGTTCTCGGTTCAATTTTGTGCAAAAATGCAAAATATAATAAATGTTTTTTGAATATTTTTGAAAATATGACATTTTTATTAGTCTATATTGTTGTCAGATAAAGGATTTTTCGGTTGCCTTTTTTTTGCACCAATCTACAGCCACATGATAATGATGCAAAAAATAATAAACATCTTTCTTTGCTTGAAATTTGTTCTTCATACAATCTGGTGCAAATATACAAAATATTGTGAGATTATATCAAATAGTGTGAGGCTAGGGCATTTTTAGTACACGCTAAAATATGTGGTATCTTGGAAAATGCAAGAGTTAATGGGCTTTGTAGTCAATGGGTTAAATATCCTGTTTCTCTTCTTCTTCTTTTTAAAATTCATCAGCTAAAAACTGGTGAAAAGTTCTGGTTGTTCATCCACTTCTGGACTTTGATCGTGTTTAAGAACAGTTTTGCATGCACATCCATTTGTGCACATTTGGCTTATTTGTATGCAGACTGCAGATGCACTCCAACTTCCAAAGGAAACTCCCTTAATTAGTAGGCTTCTAAACCAAGCTTGTTGTGGGAAAGGGGGAGCAGATGAGTATACTTATTTTTCCCAAAACAGGGCTGTGGAACGATATTTGATTAAAACAATGGTTATGAACTGTCTAAGTCAGTGATTCCCGAATGTGCGTCGCAGCGCACCGGGGAGCTATGACCTCTTCCCAGGGGCCCCGTGAAATATTCGAAGATACACGAGTTTTATTGTTTTTATCTCTTACATACAAATAGTCATACTTTTACTTAGGTTAGGGCGTCGTGGAAACATCTTAATTGAAAAAGGACGCCAAGACTAAGAAAAGTTTGGAAAACACTGGTCTAAGTGACTAATGGTAGCAGATATTTAGGAGCTGAGCATTTGAGGAGCATGTTGAATACACATGATGGCAACAACAGTCCTGAAATCCCATGCTTTAAGCAGAGAAGACTTTTTTTGTGTGTAAAGTCACACCTGCCACCCACAAGGGCTATGATTCTCAAGATTTCCTCTAGCACAATATAATGCTACTACCCTTTCCATCTTTCTAGACTCAAAGGCACCAAGTGATACAAGCGGAATTTACATTCTATTCTGTTTTCTCTCTATTGTGACTTTACTTACTTGTGATCCAGAAAAAGATCCAGCATGCTTTCAGTCAACCAGATGTTCTTCTGAGAAATATCACCACCTGGAATAGATTCAGCACAATCCTGTCACTTATTATGGAAGGTGAATTACAAGAAACGATCAATGTGGATAAGTATTTTTAAAAAGGGTGACTGTGTGTGAGATATCTGAGATTACAAAATTGAGAACTGATATTCAACATACAACCATTTATCTGTCTGTTTAGTGAATACATTTTAAAATGTCTTCTTCTTCTTAACATTCACCACCTGTAAACTCTTGGGGAAAGTTCTGGTTGGTCATCCATTTCTGGACTTTGTGATCTTGTTCCAGAATTTGATTTTTGAGGGCACATCTGTTTTAAAATCTTGCTTATGTGTATGCTGGTTCCTCACCTCTCCAGCAAATGCACTCCAACTACACAAGAAGCTTCCGTAATTGGTCGCCTAGCACAATATGCTTGTTGGTGAGGGCAGTGGGTTTATTCTTTTTTTTCTTTTTCTCCGGAACCAATACGGGCAGTTTGAAAATATCATGATTCCTGAGTATTCTTTTTCAATTTCTGTGATGGAGAGTTCATTTACAGGAAAAAAGTTTTCGGACAGTAGTACTTGACCTGCACCTTGAAAAATATTTCGGCCTCACCCAGTTATATCAACAGACAGTAGCCCATGCACTGTAGCTAATCTTCATTGTGGAGATGGCACAACTTTGTTTTTATTATTATTTGCAACTGTACTGCTTTTGTGCAGCTATGGTTTAAATGCATATATACATACACACAGACAAAACAAAGGAGCTAAGGGATTTCCAAAAGCAGCAGGAAGACGGAAGGGAGAAAGTTTGACTCACAAAAAATTTAGTTCAATCCAGAGTAATCAGTTACAGTTTCTGTGTTTCAAATATGTAGAATACATAGAATGCTGATTCTATACAATGTCTGAGACACAGAATTTTATGTATGGACTAATATACTAATGGACTTTTCTGGACATTAGAAAGTAAACATAAGCATACAACATACTAACTGATGGAAATGCCCAATGTGCAAAGACGTCAACTGTGAAAACAAACATAACATAGCATAATGAACCAACTTCAGGTCTTCAGTTGCTGATACAAATATAACAGAGCTCTTTCTCAAACTGCTGACATAAATAAAAGCAACATACCAACTATCTGTCTTAAGATGCTGATACAAACGCTGTCTGCTCCCTGAGCATTCATCTTCACTAGTTCCTTGCATAACCAAAGCACCTATGGATAAAAAAAGCATATTGTGTAGAAAAATGTTAATGAAAATTACAGAAGTTAAATATTAGGCAAACAAAGATTTACTACCCAACACTCCTAAACGAATTAGTAATCGGTCTGGCATTTCCAGGTATGATTATGTGAAAAGCTATATATTAAAGAACATTTCACAGAAATGCTGACATACAAAGATTTATACTGTAAGAAATAAAATATACATCTTTTACGTACTTCAACACTGTTATTTTCTAAGTTTAAAAACAAAAAAAATGGCTGGTTAAATCGTATACTTAAAAATGTTGCTGTGACTGCCATACTTTTGTAAAAAAAAAATGTTTTTAAATTTTTTTTTTTTTTAAACTAAATAAGTGAACATCATCACATGATTTATTTTTTGCAGTTTTTTCAAACATTGTAGACAGGTCATGTCTCTGGGCTCAATATCCCACAGGAAATGTTGAAGAGTATAGGGTATTTTAGTACCAGCGACCACATTCCAACAACTTAGCCCCACAACTGTTATTTCTAAACACTTATTGAGAGCTGTGGTAGCGTAGTGGCTAGACCCTCATCTGTTGGTCTGAAGGTGTTGAGTTCAAAGCCAAAACTGACCTTGGCTCTCATGTCAACCCAGCCTAAATGGGTACTAGGAAATGTCCTGGGAAGTAAAGGCAGTCGGTGTGATTGTGACATCACTAACCAAGGAGCAATTAGTCTATATAAATACGAGTCTAGCATCATATGTGCTACTGGCATAAAATGAATCCTCACCTTTATTATTTGTGCCTATCTTTCGGAAAAAATATGCATCCTAAGATAACTATTATCTGTATCTTTCTGATGAAAAATATAACTATACTCCAGTGCGAGCAATTAACTCAAAATATGATTGACCAAATGTTATTACCTGTGTCCTGGTTGTGTCTAACAGCTTCAACCATTTTTCATAAACAATCTGATTGATTTTGGTCAGCAGACATGTCAGTCCATCTCTAGCAACAAGATTTAGTTCTTGAAAACTCTGAAAATTAGAAAAAACAATCAATAGAAGCTCAATTTTACAAAAATTGCAACCTAGAATGATGGAGTCAATTAAGTGTTTTAGACAATGAGGTCATGGCCACAAAGTCTAGCCATCTGAATAAAGAGCCTGCTAGTCCTTTGATAATCACCTGGCCTGTCTAGCTGGTTCTCACTCTCCCAAAGACCTGAATATTCAACATAATTTTATATATTTTTTTTTAAACGGAGTTGCATCCTCTGCAATAACCCCTCATCTATATACCCATCCAACCACTGTGAAACCATTTCTAGCCAATATCTTTATCCAACAACATGTGTACCTACAGCTAATGTTAGAGTGTGTTACGGAGATGTTTGTGACAGACTTCACCCGAAATCTAAATTATTATGTATTCTTGTCTGTAACTGTATCATTTGTTGACAAAAAAAATGTCCAGCCAAACTTTATTCTGTGAATGTGATATTGTGAAATATCACTTTTTTTGGGCTTAATTTACACAATTTACAAGTAAATTTAATGAATAAAAAGCTTTGACTAGGAAGTTTGGAGTGTGTGGGACAATAAGGAATACCATTAATGAGATAAAGCTAACACACATATACAAAATTAAACATAGACCGTAAAACAGAACTGAAAATAGAATTATGGAATAAACACTATTATAAAAAAGGATATTTTATTTTACAAATGAAAACAATATGTATATGTAATTTAATGAAAAGATGCATACCTTTGTCTGCATTTTGCTATCAACCAAGATAGCATAAAGTAAGCCCATCTGAACCTCATCATGTTGCTGATTACCTTTAGCTACCTGAATAAAATAAGAGATAAAAAACAACCTCCAATGTATGTTTTCAGGGTAATGTCTGCTTAAGTCATCATCACCATCATGTGCACTGCAGATTGGAGTAGGCGTTCATGCATCTCCACAGATCTCTGTCTCCTGTTCTCTGGATCAGTTCCACCGATGATATCCTTCCATGCCACCGTCGCAGTCCATCGGTTATCTTCTCTCTTGGTCTGCCTCTCCCTCTTCAACAGCTGATCATTTCCGGTTGTTACAACACTCTCCTTAGCCTCCCCCTCCTCACATGACCAAAGAACAGTGCTTGTCTTTTCCTTACAGCTCTATATATTGATCTGCTTAGTTACTCTGGCAGTCCAAGGGATTCTTAACATTCGTCTGAAAAACCACATCTCCGTCGGCTCCGAGATCTTTCTAATTTGTACATTTATATTCCATAATTCACTATAAGACAGCAATATAGGTTCTACATCTGCTTAATTACAACACGAAAATTACTGATAATTCACTGTTATATGGCAATGAGATGAAATAATGTAATTATATGACGTCACAATTTATGTAACCCCAAACAATACCTTACAAATTTGTTGGAGTCATATCCACTATGTCTAAACACAATGCAGTTGCAGTCAGTACCACAGCTGTTATACCGGGCTCTGTCCAAAGCATCAACCTAAACCAATAAAAGCCTGAAAAACTACTTTCTCAGGGTGAGAGACTTAATTCCAAAAGTAATTACTGCTTCATCCTCATTATCACTTTGCCAAATGGTAGTTGGCTATCCACAGGCTTGTTTTTACTGACTGTATCAATTCAACTGATGAAATTCCTCCATGCCATCATTTTACATTCTCCAGCATAATTTCTGCTGGCCTGCATGTACCAATTTTACTGACAATCTTTCCAGTTATGACATTTTTCAGTTTCTTTTTCTCATTTATGATCGAAGAACATGTAGTCTCTAATCTGTCTCTATTTTGTGTAAAAGATTCTATTTTCACTAGCCTTTTCCAGGCAGATCTAAGTTACTCTGACTGTCCAAGGTGATCAGGTAACCATAGATCCAAATTCATCGATTTCGATGACCCACTGCTGGGTCAACGAAAAACACACACAATTTTGATCACTTTTCACTATGAAACAACTGACACAGACTGCAGTCTCAGCAAAGCCAACAACATATACATACATCAAATGCATAATGCAGCTGTCAGAAGTGCCAACACAAACAGTCCGGCACCATAAATGCGGTTCCTCATTGGTGGAAGCAGCAGTTATAACAAATCAGTAGCTGCACAAGCAATTAACTGCATAAAGCACAACCAGTTCTTTGGCAACAGGTCACAACATAAACAGCGTTGGACACAGTCTAAAAGCATTCAAAATGAATTCTGTCATGCCATGCACTCAGCTCAGCAGCTGGATGGTGGAACTACATTCTTTCAGTTTACATATGGAGGATTATACAACGGCTAACTATTATCAGTAGCAAAAACTTGCCATGATTAAAAACAGTAAGCCTGGCTTTCCAGCATACTGAGCGGAGATCATGGTTAATTAACACAACACCCATTTTAGAAACCACACCTCTGCACCCTTCAGGCTATTCTTAATTTGTAGTGTTTACATTCCAGGTTCCAGGGCCACACTACAGAACAAGCTGGATATATTTCACTATTCTCTGATAAAAAATGAAAATGGTTTATTCCATCAGATATGCTTGATCCTTTGAAATATGTCTCTGATTTGGTCTACTCTAATTTTAATCTGTGTGCTAAATGCTAGCACTTGAGAAGTGGAATGATAAGCTCCTGTCGTCAAACCCACACATTATTTTATATAATCTTTTCTTTCTACTATCAGTTCAGTGTTGCTGACTGGATCCTGTTGTCAGCTGGACAATCTTGCATGTACCTCTCCAATTCTCTTTCACCTCTTGGGGTCAGCTTTAAGAGCTAAAAAAACACAAACC